TTTTCTTTAGGATCGGTATTTTCTTATTATTTAAGGCTTTATTAAGACATCTAAAAATATCATTAGTAATTAATTGTTTAATATAAGTGTATAGTCTAATAAGTATCAGTGACAGTGTATTTCTTTGTTAAGAACATTTAGTGTTTGTTTTTTGCATGTTTCTCTTGATAACTTTATTAAGACTATTAGTTAGTTGCTTTCTTGATGTACGAACTGCCGAAGTTCATGCTTGCAGTTTTAGCCGAGCATGATCTAACTTTCGGTTGTTCGTACATGGAGAAAGTGCCAAATATTGTCGTGTTTATAATGTTACTTTACACACTTGCGAATTGTGTGTCAACGTATTTCGACATGTTATTCTGTAAATATAATTTAAACATAGTTGGAAAATTGCCTAATTAGAAAATCGGGGCTTTCTCGAGGTATGAACAACTGAATTGTAGTACTGGTTAATACTTTACATTATACCCATGATTTCATTTGTTCATACTCCTAGGAAGTACTGAAAATAGTCATAAACATTAAGGTTATTGTTGTTGTGTCTATAGAGTTTAGGAGGACCAAATTGGAAAAAAGTTGTAACTTTATCTGTTTATCCTCATTAAATAAAGTGTTATTATTATTATTCTTTAGGATCGTTGTTTTCTTATTCTTTAGGATCATTACTTTATTTTCTTTAGGATCGTTGTTCTCTTATTCTTTAGGATAATTGTTTTCTTATTCTTTAGGATCGTTATTTTATTTTAATTTGGATCGCTGTTTTCTTATTCTTTAGGATCGTAGTTTTTTCCTACTTTGGATCGCTTTTCTTTAGGATCGTTGTTTTCCTTTTCTTTTGGGATCGTTATTTTCTTAAAACTCATTAGAATAACAATATAACTCATTATCTATGTTATTCATTAGAATAACAATATAACTCATTATCTATGTTACTCAACGTTTATTCGTTAATATGATCCTTTACCGTCACGTGTCGTGTGTATTGAATTTTTGCCAAATATACCAATAGCAATTTCCAATTAGAATAACAATATAACTTATTATCTATGTTACTCATTAGAATAACAATATAACTCATTATCTATGTTACTCAACGTTTATTCGTTAATATGATCCTTTACCGTCACGTGTCGTGTGTATTGAATTTTTGCCAAATATACCAATAGCAATTTCCAATTAGAATAACAATATAACTCATTATCTATGTTACTCATTAGAATAACAATATAACTCATTATCTATGTTACTCAACGTTTATTCGTTAATATGATCCTTTACCGTCACGTGTCGTGTGTATTGAATTTTTGCCAAATATACCAATAGCAATTTCCAATTTACCACATTGTTCGAGTCACGGATAGATTGCGTAAATCGCCTAAAATCGCTTAAAGGCCCTGTTACACGGTGCAATTTTTCATACAACTTGTCTCGCAATGTTTAAAAAAAGATTTTGATAATGCATTGCCGGAGCCGTTAAACGCTGCAATGATTTTCATGCAACTCGCAACGATGGGGGACAGAGGCATGCGAAGAGACTAGGGAGAAGCGCTACCAGTGTTCTGTGAGGATGAACTGCGCCCAATCTCACTTACGGCCTCCCTATCTAAAATTCTTGAAGATTTTGTGGTCCAGTGGATGATGGACGATGTTAAACACAAAATTGATCCAAAACAATTTGGCTGTCTTAAAGGAACCTACAACTGGCTAAAGACATTAGACGCCCAGTCGCATTATTTAAGGATCTGTTTCATCGACTTCAGTGAAGCTTTTGGTTATAACATTCTAGTTTTAAAACTGTTGTCACTTGGTGTCAGAAGATCAATTATCCCGTGGATCTGCAACTTTTTATCAAACCGCCGACAATCGGTAAAGATTGATAATTCTAAATCTAAATGGGGTTTTGTTAACGCAGGCGTCCATCAGGGAACTAAACTTGGACCTATTCTTTTTATTATAATGATTAACGATCTTGAACTGACTTCTCCTAATACTAACCATTGGAAATATGTAGATGATGTCACAATGTCTGAAACCGTAAATAGAAATGAAATTTCAACCTTGCAGTCAGACCTTGATGCAATCGAAACCTGGACAAAGAATAACAATATGAAATTAAACGGCATAAAGTGTAAAGAGATGATAATTAGTTTCCTTCGTAACGAAACAGTCATTTCTCGACTTTGTATCGACGAATTGTCGCTCGAGCTAGTTGATTCATTTAAAGTTCTGGGAGTAACAATCAATAATAAGCTAAAATGGCAAGATAATACAGAAGCAATAGTGAAAAAAGCGTGAAGACGTCTCTATGTTATTCGTGTTCTGCGACGCTGTGGTCTTCCTCCCAGCGACCTCTTATACTGGTTTATCTTTCTTTAGTGCGGTCAACCTTGGAATACGCCTGCCCTGTTTGGCACACTGCGCTACCAAAGTATTTATCGGACAAAATTGAAAAAGTTCAAAAAAGGGCCTTCCGTATAGTATATCCTGAAGCTGATTACCAAGATGTCCTTAACACCGCCCAATGTAAGCGCCTCGATGATAGGCGCTAATAAAAAAATTCATGCGAGTCGCTATATGAAATGTTTACATAAAGTAGTGTATCACGACGAACCGAAGCGCAGGGAGTTATGGGCTTGAGGCATCGAAAATTGAGGAGCGCCTGGGAGATCTTGTGCCGTTTCTTGCAAAATTCGTCTGTTTCTTGCAAATCGTGGTTTTTCGACAGTTTGGGGGCTTTTTTTGCCATATTTTTTTGAGGAAACAACATTTCAAATTGTTTAATTACACATGTGATTACAGTCAGATGATATTTGATATCATTTTTAACGCTTTAAATGATTCCGAGATGTCAACACTTGAAGAGTTCTACGGGGCCGTAGTAGCCGGTTTATATAATAAATTTACAAGGTATGGAAAAATGACAATGAATTTTTATCACAATGTGCAATTTATTTTAAAAATATACAGCTACAAGACGTTTATTAAACAAGGGAGCGATGAATATTTAGATTTGAATATTTATTATATTTAGATTTGTTGTTTACTTGTATGACAGCTATTATACAAGATCGGCCAGGCGCTAACCAGAACGCTCATATGCCACTCCCCTTTGCGCGCCTATAATGTGACGCACTACTTCATGTAAACCTTTCATATAGTGACTCGCACATTTTTTATTAGCGCCTCGGGACGAGGCAGGGCGTCAAGAACTTTGCTGTAAAACTTTTAAGAAGATCGAACAATCTGATTCTTGTCTTAATTACCTCTTACCCCCTCTTCGTACAGAGATGCACGACAGGGAGTTAAGAAATAATTTTAATTACTGCTTACCGAACTGTAGAAGAGAGTGGCATAAAAACAGTTTCATACCAACAATGTGTGCTATTTTTAATTGTAGTTAGCATTCCTCTTTTATTGTATTTTAATATAGATATACATGTGATGTAAATATTGTATTTTAACATAATTATATAATTGTTAATTTATCCTATAGTATAGATAATTGTAATTTCATCTAATAATTTGTAAACATATTGCAATTCACCTTTCGGTGCGAAAATATGTCAATAAACCATCCATTATTATTATTATTATTATTATTATTATTATTATTATTATTATTATTATTATTATTATTATTATTATTATTATTATTATTATTATTATTATTATTGTGGTCGAGCTCACTGTTGGCTATGAGACAAACCTCGAGAACAACGTTAATAGGAAAAAAGCCAAATATAAAGAACTAGTAAAACAACTAGACGAAAATTTTAACGAAGTAAACTTTATAAATCTTTCTATGAGCTCCCTAGGTATTTTTGCGCAAGAATGCTCTACATTCTTAGAAATGTTAGGAATTGTTGGTCTGGACAAAAACTACCAAACGTACTGTGTTAGGAAAATGATGACTATTGCCATTCGAAGTACATACTATATTTTTTGCTGCCGAAATAAGGAATGGGAAAGTCCGGACTTGTTAACTATTTGAAATATCTGATTGTCTTGTATATTTATATATTTTCATGTATTCTGTCTTATCATTTTTATTAGTTCATATAGTTGTGATTCAAATAGCCAATTGTAAGTTACCTTAAATTAGCGAGATTTACAATTGTATATATATAGTATATAACAAAATTATTAAAGTTTCCATTATTATTATTATTATTATTATTATTATTATTATTATTATTATTATTATTGTTATTATTATTATTATTATTATTATTATTATTATTATTATTATTATTATTATTATTATTATTATTATTATTATTATTATTATTATTATTATTATTATTATTATTATTATTATTATTATTATTATTATTATTATTATTATTATTTGGGAAAAGTGATAACCCATCTTGTGAATTGTGCTACTCAAACAAACAAACACAACTTCACATGCTTTCTGCCTGTCCGGTTTC